CTTGTCACTGTAAGAAAATCTCTGCAGAAACAACTTAAAAGATGTATTCGGGCTCAGAGTTCAGTGAGGGGTTCAGGGCAGCACAGCAGAAAGGCTGCAGAGTCCAGCTGTGGCTGCCGCACGCTGGGGAGCCTGAGAGCCCATAGCGGATGCCTCAGCAATCCCCACCTGGTGCCAATGGCCTATAAGATTTTCTGGAATGCCACTGCTGTTCAGTCCACATTGGAAGGTCGAAAATGCTGCAATCTGATGTCAGTGAAGTGTGGCCGCAGCAGCAGGATAGTCACACTCATCATCAAGAAGCAAAAGCTGCTCTTTTTTTTTTTGCCTCAGACCTTTTTATATTTAGGCCATCTACAGGAAGGTGCCACCCACTCTGTCATATCCCCAGTCCGTGTGATTTTTTTTTTTTTTTTGCCTTTTTAAAAAATATACACTTGTAACATGAAAAGTAAATGACCCAGTGGCTGATATTGGGGTTCAAACTTCAAGCTGAATATCAGAAAAGCAAAGCAGCCAAAGCCACTAGCTCTTATCTCTACCTCAGGCTGAATGGGCCGAGCCGGTCTCCCTGAGCTCTCATCAAGCCTCTCCTCAGTGTGGCTGGAGAGCAGATGCCTCCTACCCTCAGTGTGTGGAGTATGAATGGTTCATACTGACCACTGAAAGCCCTGCTCCTATCTTTTATACCCTCTAGTGTGGGATTAAAGGCATGGGATCTGTTACTCTTTTAGACTGATTCAATCTTGCGTAGCCCTGGGTGGCCTTGAACTCAGAGAGATCTGTCTATCTGTTAATCCTGAGTCCTAGGATTAAAGGTGTGTATCACCACCTTCTAGTTTCTGGCTGCTACGATTAAAAGGTGTGTATCTGGCTTTTATGGCTTGTGGCTGACTTTGCTTTCTGAATGCTGGGGCAAGGTTTAATAAATCATAGATAATATCACCACATACACTACCTTTGAGAAAATACCCACTCTGCCTCTTTTGAGCTCAGTCTGGAGAGCAAGCCTACCTGCCCATTTTTAAATTGCCTTTGAGTTGTAGAAATTCTTTGCATATTCTGGATATTAGCCCCTAATCACACACATATACCTTGCAAATGGTTTCTCATTTTGCAAGCTGTATTTCCATTGTTGTGTCTCCTGAGAGCAGACATTTTCCAAGCTTGATGTGGTTTTGTTTGTCTATTTTTACGCTTTTGCTTGTGGATCTGTCATATCAAGAAATCAATGCTAGGTCCAATGTCATGAGGCTCTTCCTGTTCTAGAAATTTTGTGGTTTTAGATCTGTCTTCAACCTAGTTCAAGCTTACTTTCACTTACCTTACAAAGATGTGTGCTCACAGCTTTTCTGAAAGCCACAAGCTTGTGCCTGGAACAGAAGACGGGTTTTAAGTGTAGGCATATAGACATGCATATGAAAGTCTGCTAGCCTGAGCAATCTGGCCTTGTTGAGGTGTTACTCTTGCCCTGGCGACCCTCTCATCTTCCCTCTTAACTGCCTCTCAGATTTGACCTCACTAGCATCGACCAGTATCTGCTCATCAGAGAACGGGGTCTGAAAGAAACACATCTCAGCCAGGAAGACGGATGCGGTGACTCTCCAGCTTGTGTAAAACAGTCTAGGTAAAGAATTCAAGAGAGGTGGAGCCTTCTTCTCCTGGGTCATAAAGATTAATTCATCGCATGTATAGATAGTATGTTAGGTCCCAACCTCAGGACAATGGCTGTGTCAAAACTGACACTGGCTGCCAGGTCCTCCCAGCATCCCTCAGTCCCTACCTGTTACAAGGTCTTCTTGGCTGGCATCCCCAGCCCCCTCTCCTAACCTTCTCCAGCTCAGAGCCTTGGCTGGGGTGCCCTTCCTCCAGCAGCTCTTCCCTGTGTAATTCAGCCATTTTGGATACACTACACTGGCTTTTTTTTTTTTTTTTTTTTTTTTTTTTGCCTCTTGCCCTCTTGGCGGCTGTGGCTGCCCCTGGTTCTCCTCTACTAGTCCCTTCCCCTCTTCTCATGTGGCCTGGTTTGGTTGGCTGGTCATGTTTGTTGCAGGATAAATAAAAAACCCAGACACTGATCCTGGGATTCAAGCCTCAGGCAGAAGATCCTGCATAGCAGCTGGGCACGAGCTCGTACTCTACCTCAGAATGAAAGGCGATGCTGGCTCCACCTAACCTTGGACTCCTGCCTCTCCTCGGTGTGGCTGGAGAATGAATCCCTGATACTGACTACTGAAGACCCTGCTCCTATCTTTTATACCCCTCTAGTGCTGGGTTTAAAGATGTGTGACCCCAGGAGCTGAGAGCATCTTTGTGTGAGCTGTTTCTCTTTAGGACGGGATTAATCTTGTGTGGGGCTGGGTGGCCTTGGATTCACAGAGAGATCTGTCTGCTTCTTAATCCTGACTCCTAGGATTGAAGGTGTGCACCACCACCTCCTAGCTTCTGGCTGCTGGGATTAATGGTGTGAATCGCCACTGCCTGATCTCTATAGCTTGAGGCTGGTTTTGCTTTCTGAATCCTCAGGCAAGCTTTAAAAAATCAAAAATAATACATCACCACACGTGTTCAGTCTGGACCCTTCCGGATGCTGCTCTGGCGGTGCTTTCCCTCACTCATATCTACAATAACCCTCCTCCACTGTACATAGGAGCAATCATGTCCCTTTAGTTCTCTTCATTTATGGTGCTTATATCTTTCTCAATAGATCCCCAAATCCACAGTTTAAAACGGTAACTTTAGTGTATCGTATTTGATGGCAGAACCTGATATGAATTGGCATAGGATAATTTCATTTCACTTACATTTTTTTTTCTGTGATGTTTCATGAAGGTACTGTTTCTACTGGCAGATGATAGATCTGCACATCAATTTCTTAAAATCTGAAAAATTATGGACTCTGAAACCCATCCATTCCTAAGATGTTAGGGTAGAGCGCTGTAGCTTACCATAAACTTGCCTGGCTATGGCCTCACCTTCTGCAAACCGGTTACCATTCTTTCCAATGAGAAACAATTCTTACCATCTGTCTGATGCTCATGTTTTGTCTCAGCTTGTACAAACAAAATAACTGCCTGGTGGATTTGGGCTGTAGGACAGAGGTCACACCCCCCACCCCCAGTCTCATAATCTGGTTACATGATTTCAATTTATTTCCTTATTTATTGGTGGACTAGTAATAACTTGGAGAACCTTTTGCTTCTGCACACTGCAATCTTCACTTGGTGTCTTAGGGAAGCTACCACATGAGGAAACATTGGCCCAAAAGCAACTTGGGAGGGAAAGGGTCTATTTTGCTTACTCTTCCACATCTTTGTCTGTGTTGGTTAGGGTTTACTATTGCTATGATGGAACAGCGTGACCAAAAGCAAGGTGGGGAGGACAAGAGTTTATTTGGCTTGTACTGACACTTCATAGTTCATCATTCGAGGGAGTCAGGCAGGAACTCAAACAGGACTGGAGCTGACACAGAGGCCATGGAGGGAGCTGCTTACTGGCTCGCTTGCTCTGCTTTCTTTCAGAACCCAGGGCCAGCCTAGAGGTGGCTCAATCCACAATGGGCTGAGCTCACCCATGTTAATCACTAATTAAGAAAATGCCCTAGAGACTCGCCTATTGCCCAATCGTATGGAGTCATTTTCTCAATTGAGGATCCCTTCTCTGATGACTCTAGTGTCAAGCTGACATAAAACTAGCCCTCACTGTCCGTCATCGAAGAGAATCCAATCCAGGCAGGAACTGATGCAGAGACCATGGAGGGGTGCTGCCTGCTGACTTGCTTGGCAAGTTTTCTTAGACATTCCAGGACCACCAGGGCAGAGATGACATCACCCACAACGGCTGGGCCCTCCCCATCAATCACTAATTAGGAAAATGCAGCACAGCACAGACGTGCCTATGAGCAAATCTCACAGAGGTCATCTTCTCAATGGAAGAACCCCTCTTCCCAAAGAACTCTAATTTATACCTGCAATGTAACGTCGGTAGAGGCCCAATCAATGAACCATGCCATCCTTCGAAAACCTGTAGCAATTTTAAGCAACGCAACGCAACACACACACACACACACACACACACACACACACACACACACACACACACACAGTTTTAATCTAGAAAACTAAACTCCCGCACGCTATTCGAGGCACTTTAGGCAATTCGTTGGGACACACAGCCAATAGGAACAGAGGCCTCCTGGCTCTGCAGAGGATGCGGTAACAAGGGTAGGCATCTTTGGGGCAAGCGTGCTCACAGCCTGTTACACCCACCAAGCTTTAAGAGCGTGCTATTGGATAGGATTCAGAAACTGCGAGGTCTCCAGTCCCGGGATCCTCCTGGCTCCCCACTTGTAGGCTTGATGAACGCCCCAAACAGGACCCGATGAGAAATGAGCACATCGCGGTCCGGGAGGGGCGAGCAGGCGAGGCGGACACCAACCACGGCCCCTCGCTAGGACTCCACTCTGAAAAGAGCGCCAGCTGCTGGCGGCCAGTGCGCACGCCCCTCCTCCGCCGAGAACCGGACCCGGGCAGAACCGAGTGGGGCCAGCAGGGACTCGGTCTCGCCGCCCCAGTATTCGCAATGCACCACGGGAGTGGTGGGACCGGGCTTCGCGTTGCCTGCTGGGAGTGGTAGTTTCTCTTCACGTCAGGACTGCAGCCTTCAGCCTCGCACAGCGGTCCGCGCTGAAGGCTCTTGAGCGTCCGAAGTCTCCCGTGGTCGGAACTCGCGGTGCACGACGGGAGCTGGCGCAAGGCTCGCGCTGCATGCCGGAACCTGTAGTCTCGATGCGTCAGGACTCGCAGCGTGTGGCAGAGTCTAGTGACAGCGGTCCGCGTGGCACCTGTGTAGCCTCAACACGGCGGACCAGCGCCCGACGGGTGCGGGCCAGCTCCCCCCGGCTTCGCGTGGGCCGACTGTTTACCCGCGGCCCGAGAGCACGCAGCCTCGCGTCGGCACGCCGCCGGCCCCGCCCCCGTGACGTAGCACGCCTCCCGGAAGTGAGTGCGCAGCGAGCGGCGGGTGAAGCCGGTGTCGGAGCGGGAACCGCAGTGTCGCCGCCGCCCGCGGTGGGCGCCGCGCCCTGAGCGCCCGTGATTTCGCTGCTCGCCTCCGCTGTCCTGACCGCGCTTGCTGCTCGCTCGGTCGCGATGGAGGCGCCGCCCGCGGCCGGCGTTGCCACCGAGGGCGCTCCGGCGGCGGCCGGGGCAGAGGTGCGCTGCCCGGGCCCCACGCCGCTGCGCCTGCTCGAGTGGAAGGTGGCGGCGGGCGCGGCGGTGCGCATCGGCTCGGTGCTGGCCGTGTACGAGGCCGCTGCCTCCGCGGAGCCCGCCGCACCAGCCCCGGCTCGCACCGCCTCTGGGGGCTGCGTGCGCGCCGCGCGGACCGAGCGCAGGCTCAGGTCGGAGCGCGCCGGCGTGGTCCGTGAACTGTGTGCGCAGCCAGGCCAGGTGGTGGCCCCTGGGTGAGTGAGTGTGCGGGGACCCGGGTCTCGGGGCTCTCCCGATGTCGTGTGGTGGTGGTGGTGGTGGTGGGCGGGGGCGGTCTCTGGGCTACCGCTGTGATCTGGCGTGCAGGGCCGCCCCAAGGTGCCGCGGTATGAGGTTATGGGAAGGATGGTCGCCGTTTGTGATCGTGTCAGACCCGAGTTTGAAAAGTTGTCGGTGACCCAAGGTTACCCGTTTGGGAAATGTTTTGCATTCGTCCCTCTTCTGTAATTGATGGGCTCCACCTTTGTGAGTGAAGGCAACCTGGGTGGCTGTGCCCATAGGACTACTCAGGCAGGTTCCAGGCTCGTTACTGAGATAGAAGCTGTGGGGCGTGTGCCTCCTTAAACGCTTATAAAACTTGGTGAACGCGGTTGTAAAAACCGGGTGGTTCAGCAACATAGCCACGGGAAGAGAAGGACCCAGGCTGCATCGGCTGATTCGTACGTAGTCCTCTAGAAATTCGAGGATTCCCTTGCTGTCTTACGTGTGTCCTAACTCTACTGCATCCGTGAATTGGTTTGATCTGCCACTGTCTGTCTTTATGCTCGGTTTTGCCAGTGCTGTTGTGTGTTGAACATGAGTTAACACGTGGGCTTGTGTGTCACATGGCTGTGATTGTTTTGGTTGTAACGAACAGAAACTGCTGGGGGAGGTGAGCGCTCCTGCCTACAGTGTGTTGGGCTGGGAGCGTCCCTCTGAAAGCATTCTTTCTGTTCCTTTTCTGGCGTCCTGTGCCTCTTTTGGTACCTATCCCGCCTTTTGAGTGTTTGCTGCCCACCGTTCTCCATAAGGAAAAATTTCACAGACGGAGAACCCTGCCTGGCTGTCTTCCCGGTTACTCCCCCTAGCGCATCTTTGGAGATGTTGCCTGGGTTCTCGGCCTGTGGACCTTGCACCTGTCTACTCCTACCCGCTGTATGCTGGAGAGTGGAGTTGCACAGCTACCAGGAAGACTTGCTTCCATGGGGCTGACCTCCTGAGAGAGCTGCCTGCTTGGCTTCTTCTGGGAAGGCAAGGCCATGGGCTGGCTTGGCAGGGGCACTGTTCCTGCATCGGAGAAGCTGCTGTCTCAGCTTCACCTGTGCCCTCACGAGCAGTGGTGATACCCCGCCTTCTTGAGTAGAAAATGCCCACAGTGAATGGCTCGTTTCATTCTGGTCCCCCGTGACAGGAACACTGAGGCCCAAACAGGTACCACCATTCTCCCATAAACTAGCTAGTATGTGTGCATACATACCCAGGCTCAGATCCACCACTCTGGTGAATCAGACCTACCCCATTCATTACCCAAGGAGTCAGCCAAGTGGCTACTGTAATGAGTTCCCAACTGGTATTTGACTCTTCTCTTTGATGTTTAAGATCTTGGTGCTTAGAGCAGTGACTTTTAGCGGGACTTTGAAACTGATGAGTTGTGTCCCTTCTCAGATGCAGCATCTAGGTGTCCCTGCAATGATTCTTGCAATCCTGGAGCACCTGTACCAAGGGTTCAGTGATGTCAGGTGAATTCCTGCTTCTGGGAAAATCACTCGCAACATTACTTTGATTTAAAATGTTTCCTACTATGTGCATTTGTAGACAGCATTTTGTGAGCATCCTGGGGAGTGTTGCAGTGAGGTGTCTGCATATTTCCCATAGTAGTCCTGTATGCCTGCATGTACACAGGGTAGCCAGTGTGAAAGATCCAGGAAGGAGCAGTTAACAAAGCCTCAGTTTAAAGCTGTGTTTCTGCCCTGTGCTGATTCTAATAGTTTCTTTGGAATAAATTTCATGGCTGTGGATTGCCTTTCCCAGTTGAACTCATGGGTGTTTGGACATGGTGCAGGGGCTGATAGACATGTAGTAATTTTTGGAACTACTGACTCTTGGGGATACCAGTTGCACCACCCCAAAAATATCTGTCATACTTTTGTGGAACAGGAACAAAGTTTAAAAAAAAATTCACCGAGTTAAGTCACTTTGTAGAAACAGCACTCAGTAGAGAGTTGTCTTCATACGGCATCAGCCTGGCAGAAGCAGCATCCACCACTGTGCCGAGGATGCTGCAGGCAGCAGTCAACAGAGCTCTTCATCTACAGTGTGTACAGGCTTTTTTAGCACACAGATTTCAGCTAAGTGGGCCCTGACTCCACAATTTAATTGCCCAGGTTGGGTATCCTTAATTTTAAAATTCAGAATCTCAAAGATTCCAGTATCCAAAACCAGGGCATGTTTGCTTTTGAGTTCTCCAACGCTCAACATGTGAGGCCTATGTAAACATACCAAACCCCAGATGGCCCCCACAACTGCTAGTGTTTTGAACAAGGGGCTTGCATATTAAGAAGTCTTTCTAAAGGACATGTGCATTTCCTTGTTTGAGAAAACAGAGAGTAGTAGATATCATTTGATCGTGGGTATTGAGTGATTTCTTGCCATGATTGATAGACGTTGGTCATCAGAGAGCTGCCTGGCTCTCACCAGGGACCCGGAGCCAAGAGCCCTCTGTCTTTAGAAGGGTTTCTGTCTCTGGCTGCAGCCTCATCCAGCAGCAGTCCCATCACAGCTGCGGCTTCATCCCAGGTGGGGACCCCTGAGGGACGGCGTCAGGAAGCAGCAGCCATGCCTGATAGCCCGAGCTAGATGCTGACTTCTTTCTGTGCAAATCTCAGAATCACACTTAAGACTGCCTTATAATGGGTTTATCAGAGCAGTACTGGAAGCTTGCTCATGATTCAAGTTCTGGTCTTCCAGCAATGCTGCCCCCTTCTTTCTCAGTGCTGGGATTACAGCTATGCACCACTGAATCTGACTCCATATTCTTAAAATCACATGGGAGAGCCAACATTTACTGACATTTGCATTAAACCTTTGTAGAGTGATTACTCGATGGTGGGCCTTGGACGCCCCCCCACACACACACACACTTAAGTCATCCACTTACACAGACTTAATGATTGGTGAATTCAGAACTGTTTTGGGGAGACTCTTGTCCATCTTCAGCTTGCCTGTTGGCAGAGGAAGCATCTGTTCATAGGCCTTCCTCCCTTCTGTTTGAGTCTCTCCACACCAGTGGAACCTATGGCTCTTGTGATGAGTGGCAAACTCGGCACACTGCTGAGAAACTTGGTGGTAGAATGTCTGTCTTATACAACTGCCTAAACAGTACACAGCTGAGTTAGTCTGCCAAGACATAAACATTACGTCTGGGGCAAACCGAACCGAGTTTTCATCGTGTACTGCACTTGTTTGGTCCTCTTGGTGTCTCTTCTGAGGTCAGGCCACTCTGAAGGCTCCGTAGGCAGCATGAAGAGGTTCTGAGCCCGACATCTTTGTGGTTTCCCTGCCCATTATTGTCCCAATTTCTCCCAGGATTGGCCAGTACCACAGTTTTGAAGAATGAAAGATCACCCACAGCCTGGGCGTTGTGGCACTATTGAGCACAGATGTGTGCACTTGGTGATAGCAGACCTCATTGACCGTTTACTTGATACTAGCTTGTTTTTGTTGAGACCATGAAGCTGGGCAGAGAAGGTGGCTTGTGCACTAATAAAGACTGATAAAACTGTGACCCCAATGGTTGTGGTTGTCACTGTTGTTTTGGTCATTAGCAACATCCAGTCATGCCACATCTGAGTTTGTTCCCAAAGAACTCTGTCTGGTTGAAGTTGAAATATGTTGCTAAGCTGTCTTTTTGAGCTGTGCTAGGACTGTTTCCCCAGTACTTCATCCTCTTGGATGAAAGATGTAGCTCTCTGCCGAGCAGGTATAGAGAGAAAGCTGAAGGTGCACAGTGGCACACTGCTTGGTAGGCTGCCATGTTGTCAGCCAATGGCCACTTAGTATACTGTTAGATCTTATGGTGCTAGAGCTGAGTAGAAAACAGGGATAATGGTAGATACTCTGTAACAGTTTACAGGGAGAATGATACTCTGTATCCGTTTATACTGGCTAGACCTTATGGTCTGCAGCAGGAGGAGATACTGATAGATACTGTGTAGCAGTTTACAGGGAGAGTGATACTCTGTATCGGTTTATACTCTCTGTCCTAGACCTTTCTTGGTGTTAGAGCTCAGTAGGAAACAGGAAGAATGATAGATACTCTGTAGCAGCTTACAGGGAGAGTGATACTGTGTATCTGTTTACCCACCATCTGTCAGAAAGAAACCTCTGAATTGGTTTGTAATAGTACCCTGATCTTCTGAAGACGACTTGTTTGCTTGATTTTGTTCCTTTGGTTTTTGGTGTTTGTTTTTCTAGACAGTGTTTCTCAGTGTGCCCTTGCCTGTCCTAGAGCTTGCTCTGTAGATCAGGCTGACCCGGAACTCATAGAGATCCACCTGGCTCTGCTTCTGCCTCCTGAGTGCTAGGATAAAAGGCTACAGGACTTTAAGTTCCCAAAGAGGTTTGTGCTTGTAATTGTTGGTGAGTGGGATGGAAGGAGGTGATAACCCTGAATCAAGCAGACTTGGCTTTGTAGCAGAGTGAGAGCGGTACAGTAAACCACAATCAATCAAAATGTAGAGTTGTGGAGCCCAGTCCCCGTGATTCCTGTGCAACAGAGCTAAGTACCTCAAGGCGCAGGGAGCAGTGGGGAAGAGCGGATGGGAGGATTGTAAGCGCAGGGGTTTGCTCTGAGGCCTCCGAGTAATGTCAGAAGTCACACCCCTAAAGTCTTACCAACATGACTGCCTAAACATGAGCTGAGCATGGGCAGCAGTAAACATGCCCACATGGATGGTGCAGGCCTCAACCCTATAGGAAGAACTGCAGGCAACTACAGAGTGCTGACAGTGGGAAGGACACACCATCTGGTACCCACTACCAAATGGTCAGCCCTGGAAACATACACACAAGCAACATGCCATGTATACTGAAGTAACTAGGCATATATAAGTGTGTATATAACAGTTTCTGTAAAAGCAAGGAAGGATACCCTGGAGGGTTTGGAAGGGAGAAATGACATATCTCAAAAAAAAAAAAAAAAAAAAAAAAAAATTAAAGAAATAAAATAAAAAAAAAAAAACAGTCTATAAAACAAAGACAAACAAAAAACAGGAACCTGCAGAGGCAGAGGTTGTAGATTGCATTTGTGGGGCAGTCAGTACCTGTGGGTTTCTGGGAGAAGAGCATTTGCATAGCCAGCTCTGGCAGGAGCACCCTGCTAAAAGGGGGAATTATTTCAGCTGCCTAGAGAAGGAAAAGTGTTAGAAAGCCTGTAACAGAGGAACTTGGGGTTGCTCTTAGAATTAATCTCCATTTCAGTGTTGGGAAGTTAGATGGGCAGATTGGATCAAAATCACACCACACTCAGGTGCTGTGTCACCAAAGTCGGTACCGTGCACAGTCTGCCTTTAGGAGTAAGATTTCACACTCCCATGGCTAGGCTTTTTATGGATGAATATTCTTTGGCTAAGTACTCATGACTTTCCTTGTTGGCCTCTGCTCTGTCTAAATAATTACCCAGTTTAGAAGGCATTTGAATGTCTGAAGCTAAGGAAATTGATACTTTAACTGAACTTGTTAAATACAGATGATTTGTACTTCAGATGGACTTGTGTTATGTTCCCAGTTTTGAAGGAACTCTTGAGGTCTTTCTGGTTGCTGAGTTTTGTGTGCAGGCTTTTAAGACGCTTGGTATAATCATTTAACAGGGGCCTCTGAGGTAGGTGGGCTGTGAAGTGTGCATGGCATTGAGAAATGTATTGCTAGCCTTGTGTTTTCTTTATTTTAGGAGAGATTAAACAAGGGGTTCAGAGGTTAAAGAGCACAGACTGCTCTTCAGAGGATCTGAGTTCAATTTCCAGCAGCTGTTTGGTAGCTCACAACCGTCTGTGACTCTAGTTCTAGGGAATCCGACACCCTCTCTGGCCTCTGCCAGCACCAGGCATATATGTAGTTCACAAACATACGTTCAGGCAACAAAAAACCCATACACATTAAATAAATCTTTATTTTTTTTAAAGATTAAATGAGATCCTCATATGTGGAGGAATAGAGAAGTCAATTTCATATATATTTTTGAATTATGCATAAATACTGTTGTCATTGCCAAATGTAACAAAGTGATGTACGTCCATTGTCTCAGGAAAAGTACATTTTATTTGGGGGAAGAGAGAATAGAACAAATTAGTTTTGAAATGTTTATAAAATACTTTAAAGATACACATAAAGTCTGTAAATTGAGATCTTAATGGATTTTTAAATGTTATATATATACACAATCCATTTAATTAAAAAACAAGCTATTTTTAAATTTATTTAATAATTTATGTTTTGTATTAGAAGTCTCAGTTTTCATGTGCACATTAAAGTATAGATAATGTTCATTTCATACTGTGTGTGTGTGTGTGTGTGTGTTAACTGCACTGGTGGGAATGTAAGTCTTGTGCCTTTAGGTGGCACCCTGCAGCTCTGGAGCTTTGTGCAGCTGTAAGAATTTAAATCCTTGGCTGGTGAGGATCTGAGACAGGTCTGGTTTCCAACAGAGGAAATAGGGTGAGTGACACTTGTATGCAGCTTCCATGCTTCTAGCAGCTCTGAGTTTCTTTGACACTTGTGTGTCTGTGTGTTTTGGGGGCACAGGTCCAACCCCAGACGCCTCCATCGCTCCTGCCCTGGAAACACCAGAAATGGGGTTGGGAAGGCTCAGCAAGCTGACACAGGCGGTACAGTATGGCAGCAGGCACATTATAGGCTTTGCTTGTGAGGTTGTGTAGCCCACTGCTTAGGTTGGGCAATGTTCCTTCTGTGTTTGAAGCTGAGCCTGTTTGCAGAGGAATTTTTGCTCATGGCTTTGATATTGGGCCCATGGCCCAGGGAAGACCAAACTGGACCGGTTACCCACCAAGGTGTTTGGTTGTCGATGTTTCCAGCTCTGTCCTCACAGCAGACTTGTTTATAACTTTACCCCTGCCCTTGATGGTAGCCCAGTGCTGCCATGTAAAACATTCTTACTCTGGTTTCTAGGCAGGCACAGGAGAGAGAGAACCAGGCTGACTCCACAGAGGCTGGTGGGCAGGGGCACTTGGGGGCTCAAGGAACCTTCCTGTGTCTGAATTAATACTGATAAGGTTGTAGGACTTGGGTGATCTGCTGGAGGGTGGGGAGGAGGTGGCATATCACGCGCTTCCTTGTGCAGCCTGTGTGGCCATGTGGAAGTTGCTGACTTGTCCTGGCAGAATTTAGCAGCTGTGCTTATGGAAAATGCTGAACTGGTCCTGCTGTTTGTACAGAGACACAGGGAACCTCAAACAACCACTTGGACAGAGTAGAGTTGAGAGCTTTTATTAATTGGTTTGGAGACTTATTTTAGAGCAACAGTAATCAGCGTTCCATTCAATTTGATTTGACTTGTGAGGGTTCTTCATGCTAGATCTAGTAGCTCTTTGTTAGGACTGTGGGTCCCTGGCTAAAAACTGAGAGACCCTGCCCCTGGCACTGGGCTGTGTTTAGTTGTGATCTGTCTTAAGTCAGCTGTGGTAGAAGGTGTGAGGGAGGGGCCCTCGTTTGCTTTGCTTTCTCTTGCCTGTGGTTTCCCACAGCGCCAGTGGAAGAGCTCCCCTGTCCCCACTGGGTTGTGTATAGGCCCTTGGGCATACGCCCAGCTCAGGTGAGTCTCTCTCCCAAACTTCATGCACAGGAAGGCAGGGTTGGGAGCAGAGACCCTCAGTGAGGCTGGACCTGGAGCTGTGTGTGTTGGGTCTTGGCCTTCTCCCTCTTGTGAATAGCATAGATGCCAGGGAAATGCCCTTTATTGTTCCTGCATGGCAGAGCTTTGGTCTACCCTTTGTCCCTCCTTCCTTCACCTCTTTCAGTGCTGTGAGGGAGCAGTAGAAGGCCCCTGGGCCAGGTCCCTGGGAGGGCCAGGTGCTCTGGACTAGAGTGTGACAGGTGGGACCCTGGGAGCTTCTACCGGGGACAGGCAAGAGCAAGAAGCAGAGAGTGTAGCAGGGCGGAGCCAGTTCTGGTCAATGGGAGCTGATCCTGCTTCTAGAGACTCTTAATTTCATGCCACTGGGAAATAATTGGAAAGGTCCCAGCAGCGAACATGGGCCTGACAAGGACCCTGCTGAGCCGTATTGGAGATGCCAACCTCTGCTGGGTTATCAGAGTGCAGCCTCTGCTTTTACAGTCTTGAGAATTGTCTATAGTAATTCCTCCCTGAGGCAGTGGTGCGTGTGTGTGTGGGGGGGGGGGGAGTTCAAGGTCAGCGTGGACTACATGGTCAAATACTGTTTTCAAGAAAAACAAACATACAACTAGGGATGTTATAATTCTGTCAGATGACTATGAGCTGGTCTGGACTGGGAGTCATCTGTGGGAGGGAACAAGAATTTATTTTGGAATTATGCATTTGGTATTGATGCATTCTTTATCAGAAACGTGAGAGGATCGTGAGCATGTATTTATTGAGACCATCTGTATGTCATCTCTTCAGACTCTTCATAGCAGTAGAGGCGTGGCCTGGCTAGAGTAATTTGAGAGTCAGATGGAGCCAGCCTGAAGACTTCCTTGGGATGCTGTTCCCATTCAGGTGCCCTTTCTCGCACCATGTGATGATACACCGAGAGATTTTTTTCTTAACGTGATTCAGTTGTTAATGTTTGCTTCTGTCTTTGCAGAGCGCTTCTGATGAGATTGGAAGGGTGCAGCCATCCGGTTGTCATGAAGGGCCTGTGTGCCGAGTGTGGCCAGGACCTGACTCAGTGAGTATGAGGATCAGGAGTCTTCGGCTCTCCAAATGGCCAGTTTCCCAAGGAAAGAATCCTTTTTGTTTTCAGCCATCATTGCCTGACACCCTAATTATGTGGGGTACCCTTCTTCGGTATTTCTCCTCACCTGCAATCACTGCAAATCACCTTCTACATCTGGAGCCCATCCCCCCCCCCACTCCCATGACGTAGCACAGCTTTGACCTGGGCCTGTTTTTATGATGCTCTGTAGCTGACCACTGATGATGCTGTGTGATCTCTGTTCATTGACAAGTGTGGGTGGTAGTGGCTGCCATATTTCTAGTTGGTTCCATGTAACTGCGTTGGTTTACACAGACAGTTGACTCTTGCACTGAGCACATGACTGGCATATCTGGCTGCAGGTGTGATGGAGAGCCAGTTTCTAGTGTTTTCCTATTTTTAAAGACAGGCAGCATTCACTTCGCTGTCTGCACAAGATTGTGCTAGGATAGGCGTGTTGGTTACTACCTGGTGAAGGAGTGCCACTCAGTTAGGTTTCCATATGGATAACCAGATGCTCTTTCCACACTCACAGGCTGCAGAGCAAAAATGGAAAGCAGCAGGTGCCACTTTCTACGGCGACTGTTTCCATGGTCCACAGCGTGCCAGAGTTGATGGTGAGCTCCGAGGTGAGAGGAGCAGCTGCTGCCGGGCTCTTCGGGGAACTCTGGAGCCTGCATTGGTAGACATCTTTTCATAGGCAACCTGCATCTGGAATATTGCTTTCCAAGACTTTCTTCTTTTTCGTTCATTAACACCTGTGTCTACATGGGTGCATTGAAGCCCCTAGCTCTCAGTTTTGAGTGTTTTGGTGACTTTCTGGATGCTGCCTACACAGTAGCAGGGGTGGCTTCAGTTCTCCGTGAAGCAGACTCTGCTTAGAAATGCTGTGACAGGCTGCTGACACGGAGGCCGTGGGGATGGCTGGGAACCTGCTCTGTGTTTTTTCTTAATCAAAGTGGATTTTATTTTTAATTCAGATATGCATAGATTGTCATTTGTCCCTGTCCCTTTTTGACTTTAGCAAGCTGAAAAACTAGGAAGGGAAGATCAGCAACGACTGCATCGAAACCGAAAACTGGTCCTCATGGTTGATTTGGACCAGACCCTGATCCACACGACTGAACAGCAGTGTCCCCAGATGTCCAACAAAGTGAGTAACACCCGCTTTCCCATGGTGGCTCTCACGCCAGCCTTACACCCCATGATTACATTTCAAAGTACATTATCTTGTACCTGTGTCCGGGCTGGGCCTGCTGCCACTGAAAGTGGCTCCTTACTGTTAGCATTGAGTTTTTGTGTGAGGTTCACACTTTCCGGGGTCACCCAGGGTGTAAGAGTTTAGAGACCTGTGAAGATGGTGGGGGGGGGCACACAAGGAATGCTGTAGAGTTCCTTGTATCTGGATGTCTAATCCAGATGATTATCCAGAGGATAATCTGGGTGTGTGTTGAAAAGAACCTGGGCGTCGCCATGAGGGAATTGAGTTCCCCAGAGTGGCGTAGGAAGCGGCCAGCTGTGGGATCACACTGAGCTTAAGCCTGAATGGGAAGTCAACTGCTTGCGGGAAGTTGAAGTTGAAGAGGGAAAAGCTTTTAGTACCTGTTAGAGAGGGGTGACCTAAAGCCTGTAGTCATGCAGACTATTAACAAGAAAGGCCTGGCTAGTGTCAGGTTCCGGGTTTTAAAATATTAGCTGTTGGGCAAGCGACACGTGGAGTATTATTTTAGATTTTGTCTACCATTACAGTTTCATATGTGCCCTACTGTGCCAGGTCTAGGGATGAGAAGATACTAAAAGCTGAGCGCAGCCTAGTATATGTGGGTCACTAGAGCCAAATTCCTTTACTTGAATTAACTAACTGCTGTGGATATAATGGTGACCAATGAAAATCATTTAATGAGTTTTGTGAAGATTAGCCTACTATGACTAGATGTCTGCCTCCACAGCACAGCTTATATTTATACTCATATTAGTTCTCTTTGTGTGTCATGGAATCTTACAGGACAATGTACACTGTATTTGGTGTGAAAGAAGTTCTTACTGAATAGTGTATCATTTCAGTCCCAGCACCTGCCTGTGTGGGGAGCGATTGAAGGGCGTAGCTCCTGTGCGTCGTAACATGCATTGCTGTGGTTGTTGCTTTCATTGTGCCTTTGGAGTTGCACAGTTTACATTAGTTCATTAAGACAGCCTGAACCAGTTCTCACTTGTAGGGGATCTGGACTGCTGTGCTGGTCTGCACATCTGTATAGGGCAATGGTTCCCAACCTGTGGGTTGCAACCCTTTCCACAGGGGTTACCTGAGACCACTGGAAAATACTATTTACGTTACAGTTTGTAGAAACAAAATCACAGTTACGAAGTAGCAACAAAAATAACTTTGTGGTTGAGGTCCCTACAATGTGAGGAAGTGTGCTAAACGTGTAGGATGGGTTAGGCAGGACGAGCCCTCTCCTAATATCAGTACTGCCAGGGTTCTTCTCGTCTCTAGCCAGGGCCTGGGCCTCATCCTCTGAGTTCAATTCTGAAGTCTGGACACTTGGGGAAGGGCTCCTTATTCTTGCTGTGGCATCCATCCATGCCTGTACCAATGTGGAGGTTGATGTTACTGCTGTTGGACTGATTACCGTTGAGAAGGGGAAGCTAAGATTAGAATCTCTGACTCCGTGTCTTTAACAGCTCAGTTTCACCATCCTGGTGTGTTTGTATTAGAGCTAGTGAGTATCTATCCTAAATAGTTTACCTTTTTAATTGTTAAAGAAGTCAGTATATTTTGCTGAGAAAATAATGATAAGTAGAAGTAAACAGATCATAGCTTAGTTCCCTAAGGAAAACACACTTATCTGCAGAGTAATAATGGGAGTATAATACACATTTCACCTGCCTGTGAGGTGATCTAGAACACTAATTCATCACTCATGTACCTGAGTGAAGCTGTGTATCAAGCCACTGGCAGGTGTACCCTCATTAGAAGCTCAAGAACCACCATGGGTGTGTACAGGACGGAGGCTACAGCTCTGTCGTTTGATCCGTAAGAACATGTGACATAGCAGAGGCTTAGGCAATAACAGGTTAAGATAATGCCACAGATAACAGCATAGATGGGACATACAACCTAGTACTGATCCCCAGACATGATTGGGTAGTCACTAACAGCCATCACCAGCCTGTCCTGCTTGTGGTTATCACAGGTAGTTATCATGCTGGTTGATCCTCAGTAGTGATAGGTGGTTATAGTGACCGGTAGTTACCAGGTTGTTTATAGTAAGTAGTGTCATGGACAGGTATAATTATGAGAGGTAGCCATTGCAGCCTGTTATTACCGTGGCTGGTTGACATGGTTGTGGTAGTTCGTGGCATCTATCATCATGCACCTTCCCATGCCTCATCCGTGCATTGTGTGCCGCCCCTCGTCAGACCTGGACGTCTGCAGACCTTGTGGGGTCCCCAGCTCCGCCGCAGCCCTGCCACCTGGAAGTTCTCCCGCACCCTCCGCTCACCCCTGCCTGTTGTTCTTCCAGGGCATCTTCCACTTCCAGCTGGGCCGGGGTGAGCCCATGCTGCACACCCGCCTGCGGCCTCACTGCAGGGACTTTTTGGAGAAGATCGCCAAGCTGTATGAGTTGCATGTTTTCACTTTTGGCAGCCGTCTCTATGCCCACACCATTGCAGGTCAGTCAAGCAGTGTGAGGTCCACAAACGAATATAGGTGGCAGGTTATTTCCTGCTGTCAAGGGCATCTTCTTCAAAACGAGGAGTGGTGCAGGAACCCAGGGTCAGAACTGCCTGTTGCGGTGGGGAAGTTGCCTGAGACCACAGGTGAATTAAACTTGTGTGGGTGCGTTTTAAAGGCGCCTCCCTTAGCAGACTAAACATGGCTTTGGAGCTGTTGTTGGAGTGAGTGCCAAATGCTTTACCGGCCATCGGCCATCGAGAGTTACTTGAGGACTGAGGGACTGGTTGGACATGTGAACTACCTGCAGTCGCTTCGTGTGCTCTTAGTGTGCAGTGGCCACCAGGCGGCAGCACTGTCTTGGGAATGAGTTCTGAGCCGATGCACTCAGTCGTGCCTGAATGCTGAGGGAGGACACACTCCATTCCAGCTACCGAGCAGGTAGCAGTTGCAGAACTTGTTCAAGTGAGCACTTTCCAATTCACAGTCTTGTCGCTGGGGAGGTGGCTCAGCGGGTGCAGCTCTTACTGTGCAGGAGTGAGGGGGCCCGAGAGCAGGCCTCCAGCACCCACTACAATCCCGAACGGCCAGCCAGTTTCTGAGCCAGTAGGATCAGGTACCCTGTTTCAAAACAAAACAGAAAACGACGAAAGAAAGGGAGGAGGAAAGCCAGTGTTGGCCTCTGGCCTTCACACACTCATGCACGCATGAGTACATCCATATCATACAAAAGCACGCGCACACACAGGCACACACACTTCAGAGACACAGATTGATCTCTGTCTTTGTTGATGGAATTGGTTCTTTAGAATCTCTGTTTAATATTTAGTCTGTCTGTAGCTTTGTTTTTTAGGTCGACTTTAGGTTCACAGCAGAGACTCCCCAAATACACTCTCTCCTCCACAGACTCTGCCCCTACTGCACACAGCCTACTCTAGACGTATCACGCCTCCCTGCCGTCAGCAGCTTCCATTAGAATGTACACTCATCATAATTTGGGAATCTACACTGATACTGTGTTTATCACAAACATTGAAACCACGTTAAAGCTGATCCATATTGTCTGTGATTCAGTGTTTTAAGGTTGTGACTCCTGTGTACCTGGGACATAGGATTTGAAGATTTGTGTAATTGTGTAATAGGAAGGTGAGCCATCTCAGACCGATAAAGGGCCCCATGCTCTGACTGCATACTCTAAGCTGTAATCAGCAAGGTGATTATTAGTTGGCTGCCCTGGGAGGTTGTGAAAGTGACTGCAGGGCGCTTGTTTGTCCTGTCCGCCCTTCAAAGGCTCAGCGAGCTGGTACCATCAACAGACTGCCGCCTGCCTGCCTGCCTGCCTGCCACCGGAGCTGCACATGCCTTGGTCTTGGGTTACAGTCTCTAGAACTATGATGTGTAGATCCCTGTTGGTTCCCAATCACGCAGTCTGCAGTCATTGGCTGTAGCAGCCTCAGCAGCTAAGGCGTCCTGTATAAAAGCAGCTCCACACCCAAGCGTGTGGCTTTCCCACTGAAACCTTGCCTCTCTGGGTGGTAATTAGTGACTCACTGGCTAATAGTGATAAGGTGCAAGCTTTAGGCAGGTGACATGGAGAGACATCAACAGAGTGTAAGGAAGAAAACACCCGGTTCAGTGAGCACTTTTTACTTTTAACTTTTGAGTTAAAGGTGTCAGAAAAATCTAAAAATTAGAAAAATAACCATCACTGTCATCATGTCCACATGTACTCCCTCTTATGGTGTGTGTCTGTGTGTGTCTGTGTGTGTGTTTGTCTAAATACACACACACCATGCCATGTTCTTCTCACGTAAGATTCTTACATCATTGTGGTTGTTAATAAATCTGTCACATAGCTACATAGCAACTGTTTCTTTTTTAATAATTGCATTCATTTTGCTCTTTCTGTATAAGAGAACTGTCCACTGAGCATCCAGCATTAGTAAACTTTTCTCACTTTGGATTGGCTTCTGTGGGTGAGCCTGTGCCTCCTGCCCATCAAGTAGCAATGTCAATATTTCTAATTTGGGTTCTTCTAGCTCTTAGAGTTATTTAGGACAGTTGCTGGACAAATCCTAGAGCATGGGTTCTCAACCTGTGGTTCGAACCCCTTTGGGGGCGGAATGACCCTTTCACAGGGCTCACGTGTTAGATACCATTTCTGTTCATAACAGTAGCAGAATTACAGATATGAAGTAACCACGAAAATAATTTATACATGAGGAACTGTATTAAAAGGTCACACAGTATTAGTAGGGTGGAGAACCACTGGCCTAGAGTCACCTTCCTTGTAGATACTGTGTTTTATTGATCTGACCGATAGACCCCGCAGGGCCATAGGGACTATGTCAGTACTGAGCAAGAGGACATTGCTTAAGCAAATCCACACCCTGGGTTCATCTGGTTCCCACCCTCATTCACCCTTCGACACTCAGTTAATGTGCTACTGCATCAGGTCCCTGTTAATAACCCCCGCGGCGCCCTATGAAGTTGAGAGAAGAGATTGAACGCAGGAGAGACAGTGCTGCTTGCTGCTTTGACAGTGTCCGTACTGGTGTTGTTGACAGTGACACCATAGGAGGCAGCTAGTAACCCTGGCCCGTGGGGCTTCCAACTCAAACCCTGCTGCTGTGGGTCTTCCTGTCTAGGCAGACACTTGAGCCTTGGGCACCAGCTCCATTTGCAGCCGTGGCTTTAGGGAGGAATGCCAGTGTCTAGTCCATCAGAATCGTGTTGGACAGAATCGGAGAGCAAAGCAATGTCCAATAGAGCTGCAGACGGCATCGTTACCTTCCAACCTAAGTGTCCTAGGAACACTGTATGCCGAGCCTGAGGGAACTGGACAGGGTGAGGGGTGCAGTGGCCGTTACCCTGCGCGTCCTAAGTCCTAAGCGCTGCACAGTGCACACCACGGCGACCGTGGACACCAGTGGCGCTGATGGGTTACTTCAGCCTTAGGAAGTGGGGTCATTAGGGCAGTGTCCTTAGGGGATGCTGGGACCACATTCCTCCTCCTGGGCTTTACACAGCAGGCCGTTTTCCAGATGCCTCAAGTGAGTGTTACCGTAGAGAGCACATGCGGTTTTGCTTAGGTGTGGTGGCGTGTGTGAGAGAAGAGCAGGTCTCAGCCGTGTGTCACTGTGGAGTGCTCTGTGCAGTGTGACCTCTATCCTTTTTATCCCACAGGCTTTTTGGACCCCGAGAAGAAGCTTTTTTCTCATCGAATATTGTCTAGAGATGAATGCATTGACCCATTTTCTAAAACAGGAAACCTTAGGTATGTACTTGGCCGAATTACCATGAGGACGGCTTACGTACTATTCAGTTTCCAGACAGTGGGCAGGTCTGGGGCTCGTTAGGTAAAGTAGCCTAGAGAAAGTGGAGGGTCTGTCGGAAGCAGCAGTGTGACCCCAGCAGCTGGCAGAGGTCACTGTCTCCACGTGGCTTTCTGAATCGAAGGACGAGGGGGGCGGTGCCAGCATCTCAGAGTTGCTGTTTGCTGGGTATTGACTCCACTGGTGTACAAAACACAAGTTAAATAGCCAAATGTTACTACATGTTTGCTGTTCCCACTTCTTCCTGTTCTGTTACCTTTCCTTGGTTTCCTGTCTTCTCTAAGCGTTTGTGACAGGGCGAGCTCATCCTCAGTCCTACTTGGAAAGCGGTGTTGTGTCTGAACTTCCTCACTTTGCACAAGACATTTCCCATTTCTACCCCAAAAGGCTGTGTCTACCGTTCCCGTGTGTCAAGTGGCGCTCATTTCTATAGCGTGTTTCTGCCAGGTGTAGGGGTGTGGCTTACGCAGGCAGACCCCTCTGATGCTTCACCTTTAAGGGCTCTGCAGAGACCTAAAACCTGTGCGCATTATTAGTAGCGAGAAGAGACCGGGGTGTTCAGTTGACAGCAGGCCTCACCTTTGCCAGCCAGCGTAGAAGGAGCAAATGGGGGGATTCGTCCGCACGCAGTCGTTGTTGACCCCAGCAGAGTCACTCTGGACAGGCACGTGCCGCCACCTGCAGCGAATGTGGGGACAGCTGCAGCTCGCCCTAAGGTGCCAGGTGAACCCTGGCTCAGCGCCCTGCCTGTGTTTGTGAATGTGGTCCAACCCATTTGTTTACAAGAACTGTGTTCTGACCTGTGACGGAAGAAGTCACCGTTTTCCACTTTTGGGTTTGTTTGGTTGGTTGTTTGTTTTGGAGAGCCACACAGTGGAGGAAAATATTTTAATGTTACTTTTTCTAGACAAAAAGAAAAAAAAGGATAAATTGTGAATTAAACAAAAGCCCTGTTATAGCTGGCTTCCTTTGAAGGAGTGTGCTCTTTGCTGTCTGTACTCTCTGTATGTGGTCGAGAGTCCTAAACTGTCCTTTTCGTGGATTGAAAGACTATTGTAACTGGCACATGGGTGTTTGTGTAAATTGCGTGTTTTTGCTTGTAGAAATCTCTTTCCCTGTGGAGACTCAATGGTTTGCATTATTGATGACCGAGAAGATGTCTGGAAGTTTGCTCCTAACCTTATAACTGTGAAGAAGTACGTCTACTTCCCAGGCACAGGGGATGTGAATGCACCCCCTGGGTCCCGGGAACCTCAGCCGAGGAAAAAAGGTGGGCAACTCCTTCTCAGTGTGAAATACGCATTCTGATAAATGTTTTTCTCTTACGTTTTATCTCTATAATGACTTATAAATTCAGTATGGACTTTATTTATTCTCTTTTGCTTTTTTTATATTTCAGATTTCCTGAGGCAGTTGGGTTTATGCAATGAAAAGTAGAATATTTAAGAGTCTTATTAGGGGCTGATGACATAGTTCATGGTTATACTGCTCACCTACCTTTCACAAGGCCCTGGGTTCGCCTGGAGGAGGAAGTGGGGGAGCAGCAGCCATGCCATACTGTTTAAATTTTCCCGGCTGAGCACCTAACTGTGGTGCTGCTGCATTTCTTCCTGGATTTTCTAAACAGGACGCCCCGTGGATTATTTATCCCATAGGGGAAGTGAGGTGCGGGGAACAGTTGCTCCCCTTGTAAGAACCAACCCCAAGCAGGACTCAGTCTGTTGCCTGTGAGGAGACTGCAGGAAATGTCCAGAGTGTCTGAAGGAAATGCATATTTCTTTTTTCCCTTTTTATTTGTTTGTTTTTTGTTTGTTTTGAGACATAGACTTATAATGTAGCCCGGATCCTCTACCTCAACCCAAAAACAGGGATTACAGATGTGTATCACCAAACTCAATTTAAAAGAGTGTTTAGAGGCATGCCATTACTCCCATAGTCACTAAAGTAGAGAGAGAAGGACCTGGCAGGCCACGCCCACATGGACTATAAAGGCAGAGGGAGTGTGCATGGCCACAGACCTGAGCTACTTACTGTCCGACTTTTGGATCAGAACCTTCGTGAGGCTTGAGTTAGAGGACAGACAGTTGAGGCTGTCCTGGAGAGGGGACGGTTTAGTTTAGTTTTGAAAGTTATTTACCACTGAGTAAGAGTAACTTTCCTTTTGTGTGTATCTTTAGTCAATCACTCTTCTAAAGGAGCGGACATCTTGGAACAAGCTTTGTCAGTGAAGGATCCCGAGGAAGGCCGGGCTGCTCCTGGGGTGGAGCAGAGCAATGGCCTTGGGAAGGCCTCCCGGGAGCTCAATGGTGGTGAGGCGGTACCAGGAGCTTTTCCCAGTAGCACCCATGAGAAGGACACCTGGTGCCTCACCCGGGCCTCTCCTGCCAGCAGCCACGAACTGACGGAGCCTTCAGAGCCCCCAGTGTCTTGTGACTGGGATAATGGGTCCACCCCAGGGACCCAGCCCGCTCAGGGAGACCCTGTCCAGGGTTTGAATTTTGACTTGTCCAGTGACAGCGAGAGCAGCGACTCAGAAGGGCAGAGGTCCTGCTCGGCTTCTGATGCGGAGAGCGAGGAGAAAAGAAGCCAGCAGCCTGCAGACACCCAGGACAGAGCCAGAGCTGCTCAGCAGGGGGGGTCCCCTGACACAAGTGGGGGGTGCCCTACAGCGAGCCCCACGGGAGAGTCTGGGCCCAGCACCCGCCCGAATCTGGATACGCAGGATGAGGGTGAACGGGACAGCCTCTGTGGCCTGGGCAATGGCTGTGTGGACCGGAAGGAGGCTGAAACAGAGTCACAGAACAGTGAACAGTCGGGTGTCACTGCGGGCGAGTCCCTGGACCAGAGTGTGGGGGAGGAGGAGGAAGAGGACACAGACGATGACGACCATTTGATACACCTCGAGGAGATCCTAGTCCGGGTCCACACCGACTATTACACAAAGTATGACCGATACCTCAGGAAGGAGCTGGAGGAAGCTCCAGATATACGGAAAATTGTGCCTGAGCTCAAGAGCAAGGTGCTGGCAGATGTAGCTGTGATATTCAGTGGTCTGCACCCAACAAACTTTCCTGTGGAGAAGACCCGAGAGCATTATCATGCCACGGCCCTGGGAGCCAAGGTCCTCACTCAGCTGGTGCTGAACCCTGATGCTCCTGACAGGGCCACTCACCTCATTGCAGCCAGAGCTGGTATGTGCCGCCATCCCTGATGGCTCGGGTAGTGACAGCAACCAACACTGCTCCTGGGTGGGTGTGCACCTCTGAGCTTCTTCCGCTCAGTCTCTTTTTCAGGCCAGGTCATAATGGAGCACTCTTAAGAATCATGACATTTTAAAACAGGGCGACCAGCTAGGGAGATGGGGAAGTGTTCGCCACATGGCTATTAGGACCTGAGTTAGATCCCCAGGAGCCATGTAAAGCCAGGCTTAGTGGTGCATGTCTATAATCTCTATGCTCCTACAGTGTGACATACAGTGACAGAGACAGGGGACCCCAGAAGCTCGTGAGCAGCAACATCCAGGGCTGTCCTCCAGGGCCTGTCCTCCGGGGCTGTCCTCCAGGCCTGTCCTCCAGGGCCTGTCCTCCAGGGCCTGTCCTCCAGGGCTGTCCTCCAGGCCTGTCCTCCCGGGCCTGTCCTCCAGGGCTGTCCTCCAGGGCGGTCCTCCGGGCCTGTCCCCCAGGGCGGTCCTCCAGGGCTGTCCTCCAGGCCTGTCCTCCAGGGCGGTCCTCCAGGCCTGTCCTCCAGGGCGGTCCTCCAGGGCTGTCCTCCAGGGCCTGTCCTCCAGGGCTGTCCTCCAGGGCCTGTCCTCTGACCTCCACATCAGTGCTTGGCACCTGTGCTCATGTGCGCCCCTACTCATCCTCTCCTCATCTCTCTCTCTCCTCTCTCCTCTCTCCTCTCTCTCTCTTCCTTCCCCTCCCTCCCTCTTTCTCTCTCTGTTAATAACTGACTTCAGGTAAAGTTTTTCCTGTATACATTTCACCTGTCTTATAAATGGTCTTCATAAGCAATTTGGCTTTCCCCCAATGGAGATGACCCATGCTATTATCTAGTTTGGCTTTCCCCCAATGGAGATGACCCATGCTAGTATCTAGGCACCGCTTGCCCCTTGCTATCTTTCAACGATAGTCGGTGAGTTGGGGCTCTCCTTGGCTGTTGGGGTGGCTCATTCCCAGTCTCCCTGAAGGTTGCAGTCTTGTTTGATTGACTCCAGCTCTGTACATGGGGCAGTTGGCACCCGTTAGCGGGGTCAGATGGGCTCTCAGACCCCAGCAACATCTTTTGTCGCCCTTTCAAGTCGGGTCTCTCCCTTGGGTTGTGTCTGTGTGTACACCTACCTGTGTGAGTACTTGGGTTACTCTGCGCTGCCTGGTCCTGAAGCTCTTTTCTCTGTGGACACCAGCCATAGGGACGATATGAGATGTGATGGGCATGTGCTCATCCTATCTATTCCTTAGCAGAGAATGACTTCCTTGAAGACCGTTAGCTGGGGACTCAGTTGCCCATCTTATAGCATAGGGCCACTGAGCTGTGTGCAGAATAGCTGTCCTGCACTAGAGGATAGGGCAGGGTCAGCTGGAGATAGAATGAGGGGTCACAGAGTCACTCGATAGGTGATCAGGAGCCCTCCGAGGGCCCTTGATACACGCAGGAAGGACAAGAAGAGGCTGGGGACAGGGTCAGGCCAGACTGGTAAAGGAGGTGATGGAGTTGAAAACTGATGTCTGAGGGGATAGCTTGAGGATTACAGTGTAGTTTAGAATTCCTGTTGGCAGAGGTTCTAACCCCAGTGGTGAGGAGGATGCTTGTCTGCAAGCCTCGTGTGCACCTCCATCCTAGGGAATATAACCCCCACTCTGGTCCACAAGGGCAGGCAGTCTGACATGTTGTCTCTGTAGGCACAGAGAAGGTGCGCCAGGCACAGGAGTGTAAGCACCTACATGTGGTCAGCCCCGACTGGCTGTGGAGCTGCCTGGAACGCTGGGACAAGGTGGAGGAGCAGCTCTTCCCGCTCATAGACGATGATGCCCGGGCACACAGGTAGGCTCGCTCTCGTCCACATCATCCTATTCCACACTGCCTCTCTTGCCTGAGCTACCCAGCCTCAAGCAGGCATGCAGGTGTGCCCCACCCCCTCCGTGATCTTCCCAAGCTGGGCCAGGAGCTTCTGCAGACGCAGGGCTACTTCATATCCAGCCGCGTTTTCAGGTAGGAAGCGGAGTTCTGGCTGGATACAGTGAGGAGAGCCTTGTTGCTGCAGAGTCTCCATCCAAGGTCCACGGCATTAGTTACTGCCCTGGCGCTGTGACACTCAGCACCCTGAGAAACTGTGTAGAAGAGGAGCGAGTCTGTCTGTCATGGTAGGATCTGGTCTCAGGAGCTTGAGGCAGCTAGTCATGCTGGCTCAGCGTTTAGGAAGAAAGAATGAAAAAAAGCATTGGTGCTCAGCCAGCTTTCTCCTTTCTGGGCAGTGCAGGCCCAAGCCCAGAGAGTCTGGGGATGGCATCTCCTCTCCTCAGTTAGCTTAACCCGAATAATCTTTCACAGGCCTGACCCCTCAAGGTAGTCATTACTAACGGTTACACGCTATCTATCCAGCCCCCAAGACTGCAGCTCTCCCAAGAGGAGCCTGTTCTGTCCACCCTGTCCTTGACCTCTGCAGCGAGGCCTTGCAGCTCCTCTGTGAAGTCAAAGATGAGCCACCATTAACACCCAGAGAAGCATCAGAGCTGGGTTTTCTCTTAGCGCAGTGCAGTATGAGATTGAGTAGTGCCTCCTAGTTTGCGTACATTTCTTCAGGGCTATTTCATAAAGTATATAAAGCCACCAAAGGGAGGGAGTGTGATGAGGGCCATGGCGCAGGTCTGCAGAATTAGTCCTCAGGGAAGATACATACATGGGAAATGGAACTTCCCATCTTTTGTGTACTTGTGATGAGAGAAATTTGGCTGTTGAGGGCAAGTGGCAGTCAGTCGGCTGAGAGTAGCTCTTTCTGGTCATTGTCAGCTCAAGCAGATATCAAGGCTTGAAGTACAGAGAACTGGCTTCCTCCAGGCGCCCTGCTGCACAGCAGGCTTGGCGATGCTGGCAGAATAGCATCGTGCTGTATTCACATGTCGTTATGTTCTAGAGTCCGAGTACAACTCTTCTATGCCAAGCGTTCAGTCGGGAATTGAAGAAGCTTTTCATCTGGAGCCTATCCAGAAGTTGCTGATTGTCCCTGGTCCCCATTGCCACATTCCTGTATCCACAACCTCTCTTTCATCCCACAGGGGTAACAGCCCTGCAGCCTTCCCAGACAGACAGACTGTGCTCCCAGCAGCCTTGTTCCACCCGATACCCATCCATTCCAAGGCCCATCCTGGCCCCGAGGTTCGCATCTATGACTCCAACACAGGCAAGCTCATCCGGATGGGCACCCAGGGTCCTGCACCAGCTCCCTGTAGTGCTCCCCTTATCCACGGGGAGCCTTCCTCCTTCAGGTACGTTGTGGCACACGTAAGCTGCTTTTGCTGAGAAAACGGGCATCTGAAGTGTTCAGATTTAGTTTTCGGAACCTATTAAGATGGTTGTGTTGGACCACAGTGTAGACAAGAAGTGACATTTGGGGCTCTGTTAGGTTTGTGTTGGGCTTCCTGCCTACCTGACAGTGGTGATTTCCAGTGCAGAGAGCACCTCCCCAGCTTGTTCTGGACTCTGTTATTCTGCTTAGTCCTGAGTTACAAAACCGAAAGTAGAGGAACCCACCCTTTGGTTCTGGGATATGCTGTGTGAGCCATGTGTCTCTGCAGGACGCCCAGTGCTGGCATGGTACTCGAGTGTCCTCGGGTGCCCAGCAGAGGAGGGTCCCATGGAGGGCTCTGGCCCCTCGCAGATCTGTCCTGCTGCAGGCAGTCTTGGCCTCCTGGACTTCCGCATACTGAAGAAGACGCTCTGTGAGAGCACTGAGTAGATTAAGTCATTTGATGGCTGGGTTGGCGATGCCCCACAAGTGACCCTTATGACCCTCTTTTCTGTCTGTGCAGTCTTAGTCACCCCATCCCTGTGAGCTCCTCAGGCTCCCCTCTATAGCTGAAGCACATCCTGCTTGTTTAAATAAGGAGCCTACAGTTTGGGGCAGTAGATGCAGTGTTAGCTTGCAGTCAGCATACCGTCACCTGCCCGTCCCTCTGTGCTCCTTCAGAGCCCCCAGATCATTCCTGGTAGTTGCCCTATGTGGTCAGCAGCCCAGAGCTATAATGGTGTTAGTTCTGCTCTGATTGCAGTAGGCCCTGGAGGCCTGAGCAGTTTGCATGTTTTCAGCAGAGTAGTTTTAGGGTGGAGCAAGAACTGAGTCCTGTGTGGCCCGGCCTCAGTGCCACACAGGCAATCGGAAGCAGGGTTGGCACAAGCAGAAAAGCCAAGGCGTTTGTTCAGGACTGGCGTGAAGCAGCTCTCTCTGCGTCCTTGGTCCGCCTTGAGTGTACTTGCTGCTTTGCAGTTCAAAACAGAAAGTGTCATCGACACTGAAACTTGTTTCCTCCCAGTTAGTCACTCACTCAGATGCTCAAATGCTGGAGTGTGTCCCTTGCTGCTGCTTTAGTCTGTACCATCACGTCACTGAGTGGGGTCACTGAGCTCAAGGTCAGAGACAGCTTTACTGTAGTACAGCACAGCATCTGCTTTGCTGTGGTTGTCCCCGATACCCAGAAGAATAGAGCTGCCGTGGGACAAGAAGAGGGGAGCAGGAGCTCTGGGCGCAGCCTAACCTCGCTGTGGATGGTCTCACTCCCAGAGTGCACTTCAGTAAGCTGCCTGTTTATGTCCTCTTGGTCCTTTTTGTCTACTGAGCTCTTCTTTTGAGAGAGGATGTACGGGGTTGGTTAGTCTTGTGAAGGTTTGCCAAGAAAAAGCTTAGGAAGCCCCCTGCGTGCTTACAGGGGAGATGCCGTGGTTAGTGCCACCCTGCCCAGCTTCCCTGCCTGTGCATGACCTCACTGAGTGGCGTGGAGAACTAGGGACTTTCCTCTGGAGCAGGCACCTCAGTCAGTCAAGTCACTATCTGGGAAATGAAGTTCAGTATAGATTTGCTATACATTGTTTCTTGAATTTTCACAGCTCAGTCTGAGCCTCCTTTCGGATTCTGTTGTGATTAATACCATTTGGCAAGTTCTCCACACTCTGAAGTGTCACCTGGTCCCAGAGCACGGGGACAACAGAAGTTTGGGCACCTCCTGCTAAAATATAGAGCCTAGCAGGCGTGAGCTTGCAGCCACACGATTCCAAGCAATTCATTTGTGCTACAATCTGAGAAGTCTGAGTTTGGTTCAGAGAGAGCACTGTTTATACTTTTCTGTCCTAAGGTGAAACACTTACTCTTTTGTGAACACGTCCTTTAAAACGGCGAGGCTGTCCTCACGTCTGAGGTCTTGGCTAAAAGTAAAAAAGGGTGAGTGGGCGAAGGAGCAGCTGGTATAGAACCCACATCCATGCTGGCCACAGTGGCGTGCTGCAGTACCACTGATGGCTGGTACCTACCTGAATGAGGGTCAGTGATGAGGCAGCCCAGCTGAGCCACTCAGAGGCCTTGTCTCATACATATGAAGTGGGGGGTGATGGAGAAGACACATGATGTCAGCCTCTGGCCTACACGCATGCACATACTTGTACGAACATGTCCCTATATATACCACATCAAAGTGTGAAAGAATGCTGCTACCTCAGACGGGCAGCAGTGACACTCTGTTCGCCATCCCTACCTCCATAGCAGAGCGTGCTGTGACAGAAAAGGTTAAACCAGTTAAGGTAACCATAGAGGTGTGCAGGTCCTTTATGTGGGACACAGATGTGCCCAGCAGGAAGTCGGGGCAAGTGTGGCCTCAGGGCTGAGCTGGAACCCTGGCAGCCCAGGTGGTCAGTGCATGTGTGATCTCTAGAGGGGACACGGTGGCAGTGGAGAGAGATTGAGCATTCCGCTTGTGGGAACGGGGTGTGATGAAGACTGGGGCCTCCACATGTCACTCCTGTGACACCTGTAGATTCAGGCGTGAAGTGTGCTTGTGTCTCGCTGAGAATGTGTGAGTGGACTCAGCATTTGGCTGGGCTCTGGCGGTGCTGACTGAGAGTGTGTACCCTTTGACCCCGGTTCTGCTTTAGGAGCTGTGCCCCACAAGTAAAAGCAGTAGCTGAGGGGACTCCAGTTTCTTTCTTGCTGAACATATCATAAAGCTGCCACACCAGGCAGTAATAGCTGGCTTGGGAGCAGTCCCGATGACTGGCTGGGCTGTGACTTGTTCCCACACTGGTGTTCCTCTCTGGGGTACTGCGTTACACCACCGCATCCACACCACGGCATCCAGGACTTGAGAGGCACAGCTGAGAGGGAGGCCCAGAGGGACCCTGGTGACTGCAGACACCTTTTTATTGGAGTTGGAGGGAGTGGCCTCGGTCAGCCCAGAGAGGCGGATGGGTGTGGGGGAGGGAGGGCTGGAAAGGGTTTGGACTGGGCATGAGAGCCTGTCCCTATGAGGTAGGGACATACCCATCCCAGATCTCTATGAGCCCTCCCTCTGAGGGTTATGTGGAGGACACTCTATGTGAACATAGCAAGTTAATCACTGCTCCTAAGTGATTGGCTCTCTGGAGGTCAGAGGTTGGGATTGGGTTTTGAAGTCCCAGGTGTCAATCTTTCTAGGGCATGTTCTGAAGCGCCTCACACCTTGATGGACACTCCATGGTTTTGACTTTTGTGTCAGGGACTGGGAACATTCTAGTATTTCCCCTTCCTGCACAAAGTCCCAGTGGTCAAGGGGCCCACTTCTCAGTTGCTGTCTGCTCTGCAGTATTTTTATAACCCGGTAAGGGGCAGGAAGGAGCTGGTTGAAGGCCGTTTCTGAAATTCAGTTTCTAAATTGCAGTTGGCCAGCAGTGCTTCCAGACTTTAAAGCAGCCGCTAAGTCAGTATGTGCTGGTGTGCACCTGCGCATCACCTGTGCAGTCTGCTTCCCCGCGGCGGACACCAACTCAGCTCTCATTTCTTTTCCCTTAACTAAAAAGCAAAGGCCCCTTGTCTGAGGTGAGTACAGTGTCAGGCGCAATACTGTTCCTTTAATTACCTGGCTTTGTTTGAAGTGTGTGTCAATAGACTAGGGATACCCAAGACAAGAGAAAGTAATGGAGTGCGGTAGGCTGCGCCTCAATAAAGCTTTTATTACAGCTGCAGTGACAGCAGGTTCTGGTCTCCAGCAGTGCGTCCTGGGAGGTGACTTGTGCTGGTGTTTTCTTCTGTAGAACCGGAAGTGTCTTGTGCATCCAGGTGCCAACCTATCCTGGTCCATTAGAGTTGTAGAAACTTTATAATGGAAAATGGCTTTGTGTCATCATACTGACACATCATCTCAGCCCAGTGCACCTTGTGGGCTGCCAGGTAACTTGTCAGGTACCTTACTCTAGCTGTCCACACTTGCGAGGGCAACAGATGTCCAGACTACTTTCTTACTCATGGCCCTGACTTCAAAAGCCGATGAGCTGAGTAGTTTACATAAGGAAACCTAGAGTCCCTAGCCCTTTCTCTTCCCGGCTTACATGTCGGCACACAGCACTGGATGTCTGAGGAGCAGGAGCATCCAAATGCAAACGAATGCTCTCCTTGTGGGTATTTGTGTCCACTAAGGAATGTAGCTGAGGGATTTGACCCCATTTTGGTCAGACCCTCTCTGCCAGACTCCTCATCTGCTGAGTAAAGAAGTCTAGCATGTGTTACTCCCTTTTAATTTAAACTAGAGACTCCCCAGTCCTTGTTGGACTTTGCTTCCTTTCTGCTGAGTCTCGTATGCTGAGCCACTGAACAAATAAGGGTGCTCTGGTTGAGTTCTCCATGCTGGTGGTCAGTACCAGGTGACTTTCTCTTTTATAGTCATACCCACCACAATTCCAGACACCCACAGCGGCCTTGGCAGCCAGTCATCCTTGACTGTGGGGAATCCTTGGCCCCATCCAGCACGGTGAAATGGACCAGTAACCCACCCATCCTACAGCCTGTGTAGCTCCTGCTCTGTCTGTCACAGAGCTCCTGTGCCTGCTAAACTTCTAAGAATTTAGCTGTGTTACCTCCACGAGAGTGGCAGTTAGCCTCATCCGGGGCCTGGAACTCTAGTAGACCCATTGTGACAGGGTGCTTGGCAACAGCACCAAGCGCTGTCTTTGAGGGTCATTGTCACCCAGGCTGTGAAGTTGTAAGTTTTGCTTGGTACTTGGTGGCTAAGAGTACAGTGGAGTCTCCCAGACTTGTCACCGAGTGAAGCCAGGGCCATCTGCAGGCACTCTTCAATGACACTCAAGCACAGTGAATGGGTGGCTTGAGAAGAGGCTGTCTCTAGCTGGTAGGTGACCTCCACTTGATACCCCTCTCCCTCAGGGTGTTTGAATCAGGTCCCCATTGGCCATATGAAGAGGTGGACCCCTGAGCCTGACTGAACGTGCTAAGATGAAAGGGGTCCCGCCTGGAAGCCAGAGCCCAGGGAGAGGCCTAACATGGCTCTGAGGGGGACACTGAGCTAGGAACATCCATTGAATGTGCTTACTCTTTGGTGAAAGGACTTTGCGTATTCTCTAATTGAATTGTTTGGTTATTACTGTTAACATAAGCCTCTGTATGTTTTTACTGAATGAGATTTTCGCAGCCCACTGTGGTTTGTCTTTGCACCTTTGAACTAGGCCTTTGATAGAATGATGAGAGTTTTTGCTTTGTGAATTTTTGAAGTTCTACTTACCAGCTTTTCTTTTTATGAATTGTATTTTCATTGTTGAGTTCATTACTGATAGGCCAACCTTCAGATTTCTCTGGTGTTTAATTCTAACCATTAGTATATACTAAGATATGGTATGTTTTCGGTCAGGTTTGGTTTTTTGGAAGGAGGGTGGTATGGGGGGGGTGTGGGTGTGCGCACCCCCCCACAGGAATGCATGCGGAGGCCAGAGGTCAGTGCCCCATGGCATCTTCATTTGCTCTTAACCTTATAGTTTAAGATAAGAGTCTCTCACTAGACAAGAGCTCACCGATTTAGTAAGCAGTTGACCAATGAATTCCAGAGGTCTACCTGTCTGCCTCTCCAGCACTGGGATTAAAGGAGCATGTGTGCCCCGTCATGCCAGGCTTTTACCAGGGTTCTGAGGACTCCCACTCAGGTATTCATGTTTGCATGACAATCACTTTACTGTTTCACTCTTTGTAGAAGTTGGGAGAGGTCTTTTTCCACCCCCTTTCTTCCCCGTGAGGTTATGGGGGGATTGATAGCTAGCATTTGAGACATCACCCTTTTCCTCCTGCAGTAGCTTCTCCACTCAGGAATCACAGGTGTGCAACACCACGCCTCACTGAGCTGTGGGGCTTTCTTGCTTCAGTCTCTTTTGTTGCAAATGCCCTTTTCTTCCTTGACCTCCACTTGCAGTCTCAAAGTCAGGCGAGTGCGTTTCTGTGGCTCTGTTTCCTACCTGTGTCTGTCCGTTGACCGAGCGAGGGTTAGCGCCTTCCTCTCAGTCTTGGGTGGAGTACTGCCTTGTTGATAGGTTGTGGAGAGCTGTGGGGTTTGGTGCATCCTCCTTGTCATATTGAGGAGCATCCCTCCCTCCTCCCTCTGACACGAACTCTCCTTCCTGGTGAGAGTTCGTGAATGGTTGTGTGTATTGACTAACATGAGCCTGTAGTTTTCTTCTTGGCATGCTTCCATATGGGTACTTAGCCTTCTTCGATTTTTCTGTGTTACGTTTATGCACCTGTTTCTTAGAGGGAAGGTGTGTGGGCTTATGGGACATTCCACAGAGCAAGTATGGTGGTCACAAGACACCTTACAGGAGTAGTGCTGTCCTTTCGCTATGTAGTTCCTGAGGATCAGACTCAGAGCTCAGGTCAGCACACTTGGCAGCAAGTGCCTTCTTCATCCAGAGCATCTCCCCGGCCCATTGATTGGTTTAAAATAAAATAAAAACTCTTCAGACTCTTAGAATGGAGCTATGTTTATGGGTTTGTAGTGTTGCAGGCACGCCAGCCATGAGTCTGTGAGGTATTTACCACTCTGTGCATTTCCATTTGCCCAGTGTGACTTGCTTCACTAGTTGGGTCAGGAGTGTTCCCTCCTCTTCCCTTCCTCCGTTGAGCCTGGAGAGAGCTGGTGCCACAGCCAGCAGGGAAGGGGGAATTCTTCTGCTCTGGCCTGGACAGCTACAGCTGTGGCAGCAGGTGGCGCCATGCTGCTAACAGTTCTCCACCAAGCCTGGGGTGCCGGGCGGGCCCTTGGCTCTCCAAGTGTTTGTAAAGGCTCTACAAGTCCCAGCTCTCTGTAGGCCTAGGGATTTAGAATTCCTTAGATGTTGGCATCAGTTGGCATTGGAACTTCCTCCAGGCCTGGATGCCAGGATTCCCTCGATCTTGACATCAGACTCCCAAGTCTCCCAGCACCCAGGCCTGGTTTCTCTTCTCTAGTTCGTCAGCTTCCTTCCTGTTCGTCATCCTCCGGCCTCCCCTTGTTTGTCCCGGCTGCTCTGAGCTCTTCAGCTCCAACGCTGCCACTTCGGCGCGTCTGTGTGCTTACCGTTCAACTGTCACGGTCACTCTGTGGCCTCCAGCATGACTAGCTCTGCTGTCCCCAATGCTTTCTTTGTCTTGCCACTCAGGCCGCTTACTGAAAGAGGCAAGCAAAGATTACAGAGCGGCCTAACGCTTCAGAACTAGCAGGGGCAGCACAGGAGAGCCCTGCCCACCCTGCTCACCAAGTGAGCCAGTGAACCTGTGCCATACAGCCGGAGGGTGGGGTTGCAGAGTACTCACGGCACTGCCCTTTGGTGCCAGTCCCAGGCAAGTCTGGGAGGCCCCCAGGGAACTGCTGTCCCTTTAGTCTGGGGGGGGGGCTCAAACACCCAGAAGGAGTGTTTACTGGAGCAGATTTATCAGTATGGATAGTGGTGGTTCATTGTTTTAAGAGCCCCCTCATCTGTCTCCTAAAGGCAGTATTTGGCCTTGGCCACACCCATCCTGATCATACTTTGTGCCGAGCTGGTTGATTGTGGTTTTGCCAAGGACATGAACATGGGGTCTTAACTTTGGAAAAGCAGAGATTGCACTTTTTAGATTTCTAGGTAGAAAATATTTTGCCCTCATTAGATAATATTTGGTTTACCTAATATAGTTGCTTTTTAATTTGTGACTTTGGGTTAATACCCCATTATTCTTGTTTATTACATTTTAGTCTTTGTGTATGTATGCGTACTCACATGCATGTGTCTGTGTGGGAATGCATGTGCTGTGGCACCCTTGAGGAGGTCAGACAGAGGACTTGTAGGAGTTACTTCTCTCCACTTGGGGCTCCTATTCAAGTGGTCAGGCTTGGCTGCAAGTACCTTTATCAACTGTGCCATCTGGCCGGGTCCCACATTTTTCTTCTTGTCAACTTTTCTACAGTGTCTGGGGCCCAGTGGGCAGTGATACTCTGCCTCACTCCTTTCCTGGGGAAAGACCTGTCTAGCACAGGCTGGCCTCATAGGCCGGCCTCAGACTCTCCACAGTTTTCCTGCATGAGCCTTTCAAGTCCTAGTGTGCATCTGAACCACTGTGTCTGGTGCACCTTACACTTGGACACAAGCTTAAACATGCATACAATATATTCAGTGAGGTTTGGAACACCTAGATACACATTGCACGCAGATGCTATTTGGATAGAGAGCTGCAGCTTTTCTTCACCAGTAAGAATACCAGCTTTATGTTGGCATGTTGGGGTCATTGGTCCTTGCAGCTGGTTGGTCCTGCTGGTACTCAGTGAAGCTGCACAGGTAACCTAATGTTTCTTCCCTGGCCTTTGTAAGCAGATTCGTTCCACTCCGTTGATGTCCATCTCTTAATTCACTCTTCTTGTTTGGGTTCTGTTTTGTGCTCTGAGCGGAATGTAAATGTCACTTTTGTTTTCTTTTGTCTTGTGATTCTTATGACTCTATTTGAGAGTAAATGGCATTTCCTGATGATTTCTAGCAAACCATTTGTCTTTAAGTTTTGTGCTCAGGTCGGGTGATGCCCTGTGGACAGGGTGGATTCTCTGTAAAGGAGGTGAGTGTGTGAGCCTCCGCCAGGCCAGGGACATGGCCCAGGAGAGATAGAGGCTGGGTATGCTAACACGCAGAGAGAGCAAGAGCGCACAGTGGAGAGGACCTTTCCCTCCAAGTGTTCTTTCTCCATGCGTCTCACCTCGTCCAGAGTCAGGTGTCTGCTCGGAGCTGGAAAGGTGCTATGGAACTGCTTTCCTCACACGGGACTGTAAAATTCCTTTCAGAGCTGTTCAGCCACATCAGCAGCAGATGTTTGGTGAAGAGCTGCCAGAAGCTCAAGATGGAGAGCAGCCTGGCCCTGCCAGAAGAAAGCGACAACCCAGTATGTCAGAGACAATGCCGCTGTACACTCTCTGTAAGGAGGACTTAGAGAGTATGGACAAAGAGGTGAGAATGTGATGGAGGCCCCAGGTCCTAGAGGCAGCAGCTCCTCAGACCCACTGGGGTCAGCAGGGCAGTTCAGGTGTTGAGAACCAGCACCCGCTTTCCTAACAGGACACTTAGGCCCCAACCCCAGAGCTCTGTGACAGTGTCTGAGAGATTCCAAGTGTCAAACAAGAGGTGCCTCTGGCCGTTGGTGGCCCGGGAGACACAAGTGCTTCTTGGGTACCCTGCTAAGGAACAGTCCAGACGGAAAGTTGACGGGATTCAACTCAACTATTCAGTTGAGTATAGATTTTAAATGCACGAATTCAGACAGATTAGCACCAGCTCTTACTGTCATTTTTACACCACTAAATAGTTTTAGGTACAGGAGCTTTCTCAAATGCTCTGCTTTGGGAATTGAATACCAGAACTCCAGATGTGTTTTGATCACAGTCTAAATACAGGGTACATCTCCTTTGGAACTAAGGTCAAACTGTATTCTAGACTCATGTTCTTACACATCTTCCTGTGGGCTCTCAGACTAGCACTCTACAGGAGCTTCTGCTCCACGGGTTGTGTTGTGTAGTCTGCAGTGTCTTTGTTCCACAGACTGCTTTTAGGGGACCACTGTAAGAGATGAGCCTCAGGTCAAGGGGACAGAGACACCTCTACGCTTTTCCTGCAGCCACAGTTAAGCACAGTCTACCTGGCGTGCTGTGTTGTGGGGACAGGGATGTTGTGTTTCCGTTGATCATGCTGCAGAGAGGAGGAAAGCATGCCTTTCATTCCTTTTTAGCAAAAGCAAGATGCACATATTTGCTTTCGGGGTCCAGTCCCATCGGCAACTCAGGTGCTCTGAGCTCTTTACCATTTCTGTGTTTTTGAATGTTAACCCTTTCATTGCATGAAAAGGTTTTTCTCAGCCACCGCTAGAACGGTGCCTGCTCCCTGCAAGCATGGTCGACTCTCTTCCCAGTGTGGCCGCCATGCTGCTGTTTGCTTTCCGGTCTGTCACGGACCTCCCTTGTGGTCCATTTGGACACAGCCTGGCCACACTTTGGGTTTTTATTCACTTGATGTCAAAAGACCTCAAATTATCATGTGAAACAGCAAATTTTACTTACTGCAAAATCTTACCCTTTCGGCAATAAAAGCCAGCCTTAACCCCCAGCCTCCATTCCTCAGAAGAGTGCCCGTAAGGACGAGCGAGGGGCTGGTGCTGTGGCTTCACGTGCATGGCACTTGCTCACTGAGAGGAAGAAGGCTCGAGGCTTCTCAGCCCTCGGCACCCTGCACGGGCTTTGTTCATTCCTGGGTCCTGGGCCCAGAAGAGAAAACATCCCTGTCCTACAAACAAAAATAGCAGCCAGGCTTCTCCATACTTAGGCATAAGGGAGATGTTCTTGTCTTCTGAGTGCCATGGGCCCCAGATCACCATGGGCTCTTTTCCCAGTCTTCAGGGGGAGGAAGAGGGCAGGTAGTTGCACAAGATGTAAGCACCAGGCTAGTTTCACATGCTCTAGCCACCTAGGAGCTGCCAGAAACATCCACATCCATTTAGTATTAATATGCCTGCCACATAGGTGCTTAGGGTTAAAACTCTCCTGTGCCATGGCCTGTCCCTGTGTCCCTGTCTCAACAGTCAGTGGTCACTAGTGTAGGGCCACCCTGATTCAGGTGACCTCATCTCACCTAGCACATCTACAGAGACCCTATCTCCAGTGAGACCAGAGGTACAAGGGCCAGAGCAGGGCCTGGGGGTGGGGGTGGCGGGCAGGGGTTCGGAACTTGGGGCTCTCTCTTTCTGCCAGAAACACACATTCATCCCTCCCTGTGGCTGCCTGGGGGTGCTTCCTTGGGTGAGTTGAAGCAGGGTTTTTTGTTTTTTTGTTTTTTTAACCTGAAACATTAACCTGGCTTATAAACTAAGTATACAAATAAAACATTACTTGTAGTAAATCTTGAAGAAATTTATTTTAAAACAATTCTTTGCTGTACATATAATTTTGTCATTTACTAGAGATGAAAGCAAACTTGTGTACTAATAAGATGAATATGCTTATTTGAAGTGTTCATGAATACATGTGTTGCCATGCTTGTGGAGACCAGAGGACAACCTTGGACACTATCCCTAGGTCTTGAGACAACGGTCTCTCACCAGCTAGGCTAGGATGACTGGCTAGCCAGCCCAATGGGTCCACCCCCTGCCTACAGAGCTGGATTATAAATGTGTACCACTATGCCTGCCCGTTTTGTTAAGTTGTAGGGGTTGTATTCAGATCTTCATGTTCTCATGCTTTGCATAGCAAACACTTTACCCACTGAGCTGCGACCCCAGCCCTGTGTGTTCTCGCTGAATATTTGATACTGCAAAGTGTGGAGCACCTTCAACAGTTTTCATGTGAGAGTACCATCTTAACACACACACACACACACACACACACACACACACCATATAAAATGGCAGTAATGTGCTTAGGGCCATTTCGAAAATTTTTGGCAAATTATGTGCTAATCCCAAACCAGAGTTCACTTTAAGTTTTTTATAAATGAAATTCAAGTAAACTCCTCAAACACCATTTTTAAAAATCAACATTGAAAGAGATACTAATTTCATATTTATGCTTCCTTATGACAGAAAAGTATCCTTTGTTCGCTGCCAATACTTCTTTGTGTATGAGCAGACCATTTTTTATATACAGCAACCGCCCTGACTGGAGTTAAATCTCTCCAGTCTGAGCTGTGGTATTTCAGGCAGCAACTGTCTACTTGACACAGCCCAGTATCACCCAGAAGGTGAATCTTAGTGAAGAATTACCTCACTCAGTTGGCCTGTGGGTTGTCTTGACGGTTAATTGAGTTGGGAAGAACCACCCTGAATGTGGGCAGCACTGTTTTACGGGCTGTTCCTTGAACTGTGTGAGCGTGAAGAAAGCTAGCTGAGCACAGCGCAAGCAAGCAGGCAGTGTGGATGTTTCTCGTCCTTTCTCTGCCTTTTACTGGATGGGATGTGGCAGGCTATTTCACCTGCCACCCTGACTTCCTCAGTAACGGACTGACCTGAATTGTAAGCCAGACAAGCCCTCTCTCTCCCTTATGTTGCCTTGGTCAGGTGTTTTGTCATAGCAACAGAAATGGATCTAGGACAGAAATTACTCAGGAAGTGGGTGTGTTGCTGCCGTGAACTTGACCGTGTGCTTTCTTGGGCCTTGGACTCTGACTGGAGGATTGTGGAGGATTTTAGAGCTTGGGGCCTGAGAGCTTAGTGGGCTTTTCTGGAAGATGAGATTGCTAAGAATAATGCAGACAATGGAGAGAGAAATAATTCAGAGGGGAACCAGAATTCTTGTTCTTAACTCAATTGGGGCTATTTGTGGATATTTTTTTTTTTTTTTTTTTTTTTTTTGCTAAGAATCTGTGTGCCTGGGGGTGGAGAAGTGGCTGTGATTGTGCAAGAGCTCAGCACTACTGAGCTGAAACCTGTCGTGTGTCCCTGGGACAATAGGAACATGTTTCCCTGGGGTCAGCACACAGAAGGCACCAGGGGGCGGCCACAGCTTGAGCTTCCAGCAGAGCTTGGCAGTGTGTAAGCACTGTCCACACACTGCTGGTCTTGGAGGCATGGAGGAGACAAAGTGGGAGAGCCATGTAGAGTGGCTGAGGCTCCCCACTCCCCGTCGAGCCTTTCTTCCTGACCTGGTGAGCAAGAGCCACACGCTTTTCACTTGTCACCCTCTCATCCGCACAAGTTTGGATGACTTACTGCTAACCTCACTCACGACGTCTCTCTCCACCCCTGTGCCTCCCAGGCTCTGGTAACCGGGGTCCGGGGATGCGTGTGCGCGCTGTGGCCCCACAGAGAGTTCTGCAGGCACTGTGTCTCCCATGCATGCTGTGAGAGGTCTCCAGGGGTTCTCATCGACTTGTCACCCAAGCCCACACTGCTCCCTTTAGTACTGCTGAGGAATCGGCATTAGCAGTGCAGGGACGCTCCAGGGCCTTTGGCAGGGTCAGAGTTCTTTTTAAAAAGTCTATTTAAAAAAAAAAAAAAAAAAAGCCCTTTGACTTTGTTCAGAAACTGAAAGTGTAAGCAGATCTAGTGAGGATGTGTGTGTTTGATTTTGTGCTGTACACAGCGAGCTTCTGCAAAGGGAAAGCAGGCACCTGTGCCTGTGGTCACAGTTGGGTGGGAGGAAGCAGACGGATACCAAGAGGTGCTTGTATGAGTGAGCATCAGTGCAGACAGGCATTAACCCAGGCAGATGCTGCAGACTCAGGTATGTGTGCATATGACTACCCTGTCAGCCACTCCTGGTCCCGTTGTGTACTGCCTTCTCTCAGTAAGAAAAATTGCTTTCCTTGTTGCAGGGCTGGGGATCCAGTTCGGCCTTATGCATGCTAGGCAGAATATTTATATACTTGTATAGGATGCATATAAGCTATAAGCTTATGGTCGTATGCTTGTTTCATGCTTAAGTAAACTAAAGGTGATTGAAGGAAATGGAAACGTGAAGGCATGTTCACATTATCTGGCTGGCTCAAAGTCTATTTGGTGTGAGCTGATTTAAGGTAGTGACTGCTGGTAGAGACGCCAAACCTGTAAGCTGGTCTGCTCTGTGCAGTTTCCGTGTAGATCTCAGGGAGCCTGGCGATGGCAGGCACAGCACGGTCTGTTGCATCACCTCTCTCCCTTTGGTATTCCACAGCTGTGCTCAGTGCAGAGCTGAGGGTGCTGCACACAATTGATTCCCCACTCCTGCTGGGTTGCATAAGACTTGTCCTTTGCTATAGGCAAATTGTGTCTGGCAGTTGTTACTTTCTGAGTGGAACAGATGCCTTTCCATTGCCCTGCAAGGGTTAAGATGAGGCAGTTTGCTTCTGGAGCTGGAGGGGCCCCTGGGGGCAGTGCATGGATTCAGGCCCACATAAGCGCTTGTGTGTAGTCCGCTTTGCTAATAGTGCTCCATGATCCTTTTGGGGAGGTGCTGGGTGATACCGTATGTACCCCGTGCCAGGAGCAC